ACTGCGTATCCTCAAGAACTGATATTGATATCATCCAACAAGCCTTAGCTAAAACGGGTTATTATCAACCATTTGAACTGATGCTTCGCCGCCATACAACCATAACGACCTGCGTAACGAATCATAATAAGAGAGAGAGAGAGAGAAGGAGACTTACCGGAAAACCTTAATGACGTAAGCAAACATTCAGGGTCAATGCACCTACTCCTTGCAAACAACATGCCATCACAAACAGCTGGCTATCGTGCAATTTTAAGGCGACATTGGTAAGAAAGCTTCCTTGCGGCTTTCACTGCCACGCGTCATAATCAGCCATTACGCCGCAGATAACGCAGCAACACACACGTTAAACAGGCAGTTGGATTAGAAGACGGCAGCAGACGCACCACTGGTGCCGACTGCGAGCCATGTTCTGTAAAGTCTCGAGCGGAGCACAAGGCGAGTCACGTGTACTCCAGCCTGGAAGGCGAGACGGACAGACGACACTTATTTCGGTCGTCAGTGACTTCATTTCTCGCTGACAAGTCAACTTTTGTCCACCTCATACCTTGCGTCACCCTACATCTGGCGAACCAAACAACGCCGTCGGTAAGCAGTGACCAGGCATACGTATTAAGTGCCCAAGCCAACGCAACTTATTCCGTGTTACTTGTTGTTCTAAGGAACTAGCTTGGTAATCATTGCCTAGCGCTCGCATACGCACATCATCTTTGCGGACACGCTGGTGCCACCCGAGACCATGTATACTACACAGACAGCTATGCTCAGAGACTTGAAGGCGCCTTAGATCTTCCGACCGAAGGCGCCCTACTCAATTCCATAGAGTAGGACGGTTTTCATTGTGGTCTTGTAAACACAGAAAGGAACCCCTTTCTGTCGCCAAAGATGTCGCAAGTTCAATAAAGCAGTTCTGGATTTTGCAATACGTGAACTGAATTCAGTTGCTATGCGCCCATCGTTGCTTATGCAGGTGCCAAAGCTAGCGAATTAATCAACTACATCGAGTTCATCGCTATCTAGGGTCAAAGGAGCATCAAGGGACTAGTGGTCCTGAAGTAACACTCTTCACTTTGTAGTTGTGAAGCATACATCAAATACTGGGGTCACTCTAGGGAGGTTATTCAGGGTTGATTGGGTCACCACAACATCGTTAAACAGCAAGACGATATCGTACGCATAATCAACGTCAAATAAACGTCCACCAGGCAGCACCTCAACGCCTGCATCGGGAGATTCCGCAGTGAGACTGGACCTTAACATGGTGCGATGGTTTGCGTATCTCTTTGGCCCATTGAGCTATACTGGGTGGTACTTCCGGGCTCCTTGAGAGCTACTCTTACCAGGTTGATCAGTGGTTAGGTGTCAAGCAAACTCAATCTCCTACTCCTCCAGATTGGGGGTGTTGCGGGCCCGTCAAATATTCCTGAAAAAACGCGCCAGAAACCCCGGCAGAATGGCTGTAGAAAGCAAGGTTCCATTCCTCCCCACAACACAGCAGCGTTCAGCCACTCCGTGACACGGCCCAACTGCGCACCTTTTGACAATGGTCTTTTGCAAACTACCACCTCTTCGTGGTGACTGTTTTCCCTAACTTAATAACCCATAGCATTGGCTGTGATTCGCCCTTTGTTTGTCGTAAAAGAGCCTGTCTTTCTTTCCTCTTCGCCCTACTTGGGGGTCGATCGGGTCACGTGATTGTGTGCGCGTCGTTAGCCTGCCAGCGTTCACGTCTAAGTCATTAGCGCGTATCTATCGTAACCCCCTATCGTGTGCGTCCGTTCCGAAGGCTCAGCGTCTACCCGAATACGTGCGGCTAGGATCGTTCTCACGTTCGCTCAACTTCCGTCCCACCGGCTAAGCTAGCCTCATCAAGGCAGCGCAACTCCGTTCGATTGGCCAGCGTTACAAGCCGTTACCATAGGCGTGCTCCAACCGTGCCAGTGACAGTCTTAACAGGCATCGTTTACGCAATCATATCCGAGGCGTTTCCCTCATCCATAACAGGGGAATTGAAATGGGATGGCTCCATTTCTGTAAAACAGTCATTGCTACCTCCCCGCTGCTTTGCGGACTGGCTTTTGCGCCAAAGGCTTTGGTTGAGGACCCTACTCGTTCTTCTGTCTAGGTTTGAACGTTCTGGCTTTATCTCGGCCCACATACAACCATGGCAATTTCCTCAAAATTCAACTACGTTCTGCATCGGCCGTTTCGGAGATTATCAAGGGTCGTCTTATCTGCTGCATACAGCATGGCGGATAAGCGAAAACATGTTACTGCTGGCGTCTCCTTTCTTTTCCACCGGTTTCTCTTATCCCCCTCTCAACTCCCTTTCCTAACCTACTTTCTTTAGTTCTTAGCTTAATTGACAGCCACCAAAATGCCAATAGAGTCGGACCTACTGTAGTTACCTTCCCACACCATCCAACGGACGCCTGTCGGCAACGATCCCTTCAAAGGTCACTGTCCCGGTTCCCTGGCGGCGTTCAACGTTAGCACTTTAAGACAAATAGGTCAACGTGCTGCACTCGCACGCACGCTAGACACACTGGGTATGGACGTGTGTAGCATATCAGAAACTCGGATCAATAACTCCCATGGAGTTGTTGAATTAACTGTCCCCCCGGCTTGCCCTCCCGCTGTTGGTTGCACGCATCCGGAGACACTGACGCAACGCTCACGGATCAGGGTGTGGTAGGTCTCGTACTCAGCTCGAAGGTTAAGTCATTGTTGGTTGACTGGATTCTGGTGAATAGCCGTTTGTGTGCAGCCCATTTAACGACATCGACCAACGTTGATTCACGAAGTAGTACAATACGCTGTTTGTTAGTGGTTTTCGCTTATGCTCCCACCGACTGCAGTTCTGATGCTGCTAAGGACACATTCTCCTATGAACTGAATATGCTGCTACGTAGTGCTACCAGTTCAGACATCGTAGTACTTGCAGGGGATATGAACGCACAAGTAGGTCCTCCTCAGAAGCTCAGCTCGGTGGCAATTATGGTAATTGTGAACTGACAGACAACGGGGAGCGTCTCTTACTACTGTGTGCGGAACACCAACTGCTTCTTAGTAGCACTGCTTTTAGACACAGTGGGCGCCGAAGTGCCACTTGGCGTCCTCCTGTAGTTGGCCAGCGATGGACCCAGATAGATCATATTGCCATAAGTGACAGGTGGCGTGGTTCCATCCTGGCTTGCCGCTTGTTCTGGAATACTTTCGTCGACTCTGATCATTCCTTGGTAGGCTGTCGCTTTCCCACTAGGCGCACCAAGCCTCTCCCCCAATGCGCAACTGAGAAATTCCCTGCCCTCGGTCAGGCCAGCTTTCCAAGATGCACTGCGTACCGAACTTTCTCTTCCTTATCCTTATCCTAATGGCACTGAGCTCCAGTGGAGTAGGATTTCGGTCGCCATGCACAATGTAGTAGCCTCTGCTTGTGGTCATATCAATTGTCACAACACCAGTCACTGGATATCCGGGAGGTCGCTGAACCTGTTGGAATCCAGAAGGGACCTCCCGGCTGTGTCTGAATACAATGTGACCAGGTGGACTATTAGACGCGAACTGAAGCGGAGCCTGCATGCTGATAGTGAATCCTGGTGGACCAGTCGGGCTCAAGTAATGATCGAGTTCGCGATCTACCAGGTCTCATTCTTACATCTTCGCTCACTTTTAGTGGTGTCAAATTGTCCCTGTCCGTTTTTTGGCCAACGCCGTCTGTAACCGTAACTCATGTTAACTCTGTCCATTCATTTCTTCTAGGTTCAGACCCGAAGTGCAGACGAACCAATGACTACTTTTGTATTCTGCAACCATTGTGGACATCGTTGGAAGGTTAGTTTGAAGGATTTTTCTTTCCCATAATGTGTGCATCAAATTACCTAACTTCAGCTACGGAATAACGAACCATAACATGTCACTTTTGCTATCTTCCTTTTTAACGTTACTTTGGAAACACGGCACAAAAATTTACTTATGTTCGTTTGTGATTGAATTCATGAATCTTCTACCGATGCACACTACCATTTTCTCCTGATCATCTTAATTGTAAAGCGTCTTTGCATTTATCTGTTCTGTCATTTTGCGTCTGTTCGGAACGGCCTTATTCCAGAGCGGTACTGGATGGTATTTCTCCATTGTTTATTCCAATCCACTGCACCAACTGGTTTTTGTCTGGTGAGTGTTGGACACTGAGACCATTTTCGTAACAGTGACTTGATCCACTATTTACGAATGTGCGTATATGACCGGTAGATTCGTTAACAAGAACATCACACGACATCTTTCAATTTGTTAAACCTGAAGAGAAACGCAAGCTGTGATTTCGAAACGAACAATTGTTTTCCATTTGTTCGTCACCAGGCCCAGTATAGAAATAAACGGTAAAAAGCTGCTCAGATCACTTGTGGGTATAAAGAGTGACAACTAATCAAAACAACCGATCACGAATTAAACAACCGGTTGTTTTCAAACCCTTCCGAGCTTTGCCATACCTTTTCGTGTATTACTATTAACCCTCGAGTTAGCGTAATTGGCAGTCCACTCTTACTTCCTCGTTCGACCGCATATACGTACATCCACGTGAGTCGATTGACTCAGAGTGCATTTCCTGCTTCCTTTCAGGAGTACACTTTATCGGAAGCTTTGGCTTAGGACTTTGGCAATACATCAGTCCAACTACCAAATATGCCGGCCCGTTGTCTTAAGGATCACATGCCTGCCTTGTAATCCGAGGGCGCGGGCTCGAGTGTGTGTAGAGACTGGGCGACGATCGCAGTATCCTTAGCCCACGTGCGACCCATGGTTGCACGGCAGCAAATTGTCGGTACTGCCTACCGGCGTACTGCTGATGTCTTGCCTACTACAAAATATGAGCTACATTAATACTGCTAATTTCATGCTGCATCGGCCGTCGCGTAGTGGGGGAGCGGTAGGTTGCCTTATCTGCTGCATACAGCTTGATGGACAAGCGAAACCTTGCTACTGCTGGCGCGTCTTCCACTTCCTCTCCACATTCTCACCTACTAGCCTTCACTTTACCTGATCCACCCTACATTCCCAACCCCTACCCCAACTCACCACCTAAACGGTTGTCCTGTGCGATCATATGCCTCCGCGGAAGGCGCTCAAGATCGGATGCTAGAGTGCGCATATTACTGGACCGATGAACATCCGGAGCGACGCACTACACTGGTCATCATGGAACTCGGTCACCACGGCATTGATATTGCCCCACTCAATGAGATTCGGCTGGTTGACCAAGGCAAGTTGCACTAAGTGGGAAACGCGACAAGAACACCACGTGAACATGGGGGCGGCTTTGCACTATCCGACCGCCTATGTGGTCAGCTGGAGGCATTGGCTATTGGCATCACTGCATTATTGATGACACCGCCTGCGTCTTGGACGTTGTAATTTAGCAGCTTTTATTATCTCTTGTTATCCTATTGACACAAAGGATCCGTTTTCCATGATACAGTCCGTGCAGATAAGCAATCGGCTTTTTCTGCTAGGTGATTTCAACGCGTGTTGGATGTGATGCCACGATGTGTGTATTTGCTCAGCCAATAGGAACTGCGATCGAATGTTCTCACTGTGCGTTATTTATGGCTTGACGATCACAGACGCAGTTTGAACTAACTGCGAGTAATGTTGCCGCTTGGACACAATCACGGAGTGGTCGTGCTCACCTGCTCAACTGTCATCCTAGGCCAGAGTGACTTGCTTGTACTGCGCATGCCACCTGTGCTACACGTTAAGTGTGGAGTTGTTGCGGACCAAATTGTACATATCTTTTCATAAATCCATGTATGTTACCTTGCGGTGAATTGGTGGATACTTAGTGTTCGTTTCTTAGCTACTGTTGTGGAATGGATTCAGATAGAGTGTGATGACTACTCGCCTTGGCGAGGTCGATTCCATCACTCCAGTTGGCGACCTGTGGCACCACATAAAAGAACAGGTGGCCGTTGCGGTCGAGGAAGCGTTCTCGCGCGCAAACTCTAAGCGGCCTGATTGGTTTGATGACAACAATGCTACCATTGGCGCATTGGTTTCAGAGGTGAATGCAGCTTTCGCTGCGCATGAACAGCACCCTTACAACGCATAAAAGTAGAGCAAGTTACGCAAATTGCTTGGACACTTGACTCGGAGGTTTCTTCGTGTGAAGAGTCCATGTTGGGCGAACAAGGGGAAGCTGATGCAATACTACACCGGACGCCGCCAACATAAGGAAGTCTTTGACTCCTTGAAGACGGTGTATGGACCCACCTTGCAACTGCTGAATACGCTGCTGGATGCTACTTCGTGTGCTGCCTGCGAGACACCGCTTGAAGTATTGAACTGTAGCGGACCCGCTTTGATGCATGCGCCGCACCACTTGGTGCAACGCGTGGGGTTTGAAGAACTGCCGGTCAGGCTGAAAGATTTTATAGTGTTAAGACTGCAAGAGCAAAGGGAGCAAGCAATATGCCAACAACAATCGTGGTAAAATCTGCTAAAGTGTCTCGGGAAGGTGAATTACTCAAATCCTGCCCAACTGCCTCGTCACTCAGGTCGTTGAACCAAGCGGGGCTGAAAAGCAATGCGGTTTTCGTTCAGGTCACAGGACAGTAGGTATGGTGCTTATGGCTCGTCAATTGCAAGCGAAATGCAGAGAACGACACTAACCATTTTACCAGCTGTTTGTTGACTACACCATGGTATTTGCCACGGTGAGCCGCGAGGCACCGCGGCTGGGGTTGGGTAAGTTTGATTGTCCGCGTAAGTTTGTTAGTCTAATTGAATCCCAGCACAGTGGTATGTGGGCGAGGATGCAGTCGTGTGGCTGAAATTCAGATGGCTTTGATGCTGTCAGGCGATGGCCGGAAGGATCACACGCTTGCCTTATACTGCGGAGGTCACCGGTCCGATTCTGCGTAGGGGGACTGAGCGACCCTTGCATTATCCTTAGCCCACCCGCGGCCGGTGGTGGTTGCGTTACAGCGAAGCGTCGGTACGGCATACTGCTGATGCATCTTTGTTGTGACGTAAGGCTACTCTTGTTTTATATTTACCTAACTGCCACGATATATACTGCTTTCCATGCTTGTGATTATGGTGTCCGTGTAGAGCACTGTGGGTCACTGAGCATCCGTCGTTTTGGAACGAGAACCTGAGTGTGTGAGACAACCACCCGTATTTTGCTGTTTACCGACGACTGTGTGTTGTTTGCGTTCGTCAGAGATGGAAGTGATCGCTGCTCTTGAAAACCATCGGAAATTATTCCGTCTGATACGGGAAACTGGCAGCAGGAGATCTGGTGTTAGTGAAACTATTTATGACAAGTGTGGACAGCTTATCCACAACTTGTCGAAACGTTTGGAACGTTGGACTAAGCATTTTGAAAAGCAAGTTAATCGGCAGGAATTGTTGGCTTCCTCATCGGCCAGTGATCGCCCTGCTCCTTGGGCTGTCCCTTTGTATCCGCCCTCGCTCAGAAGTCGTGAGATCAGACTGCTGAAGTTGCATAAAGCCGCGGGACCAGATTATCTTCATCCAGCCCTCTTCTAATTCGGGGGCCCTGCTCTTGTTGATGATTTACACGAATTACTGGTGAAACTGTGGGAACAGGAAACTATCCCAACCGACTGGAGTCGCTCCGTTGTGGTCCCGATCTTCAAAGGATTCTCGCACTCGGAATGCGACAACCGTAGAGGAATCACTCTGATCCCCATCGCCTCCAAATTACTTGCCTCTGTCATCCTTCACAGTCTGACTGACGCTCGTGGAATCCAGCTTCGTGAGGTGCAAGACGGGTTCCGTCGTGGTTGGGGATGCATCGACCATATATTCACATTACGTCAGCTGTTGGAACACCGTTACATATATTTTCGTCCTACCGTTGTCGTGTTCCTCGACATCAGAGGCGCCTTCGATTTGGTGGATTGATGTGCCCTTTGGGACTATGTACTCAGGAATGGTGTGCCCGAAAAATATGTAGCTTTTAACCCAGCGCTTTACGCGCGTAGCTCGGGCAGAGTGGGGCTTGCGGCAAGCTGTCGCTGCCTTTGAATATCTCCAGCGGTGTAAGGATGCCCTTTGTCACCTTGTCTCTTCAACTTCGCTATTAACGGTCATGGAGATCGCGTTCACAGTACACGACTTAGAGGGTATGGAGCTGCTCCCACGTGAACGATTTCTTAACTTTGTGTATGCTGACAATATTTCCCTACTCTGTGACAGCTCTCAAACGTGCCAAGCGGCACTGGACAAACTAACTGGCTGTCAGCCATTTCGGACTACGCTTTGCACTCTTGAAGTGCAAAACTTTCTTTCAAGATTGACAGGGTCCGCCTCCTGCGCTAACCCTTGGTGGGGATTAGCTCGAAGTCGTTCAAAACTGCAACTATCTCAGCAGTTGTATACACGCCGTTGGAATTAAAGACGACGTCACAAGCCGTATAGCCGAAGCACGAGGCGCTTTTGCTGGCCGCCACCTATGGCGCCGATGCGACATCACTCTCACTTTGGAAGTTAGAGTGTACCATGCAGCAGTACGTTCGACCCGATTGTACGGTTGTGAAACTTGGCCCATCAGATCAGCCGACATAAAGAGGCTAGTTACGTTCAACCATCGGCACCTTCGCAGTTTTGTTCATATCTAGTTGGAACACTGTACAAGCAATGAGCGTGTTCGACGCCTTATTTATGGCACAGGAAGTAGAAGTGAACCGCTCAGCACCAGGTTCCGATGGCAGGGCCACGTGTTACGCATACCAGTCCACCGACTCGCGCGACGTGCGTTGTTTGTGCGACCGGGGTGTGAATGAAAGAAGAGGAGGGATGGCGAGTCC